GGAAAAAGAGTCGAATCTATTTCACATATCTGATTATCGATTAAATGAGAGAGATTCTTTTGTTTATTATTTATTGAATGTCAATGAGTAATAATTATCAATTAAGCTCAAATAGAAATGTGGCAATCATGAATGTTTCTTTTTTATTTTCTCTTTAATCTTTAATCTTTAATCTTTTATCAATAATCTTTAATCTTTTATCAATACCTTTTATTTGTTGCATAATATTTTACGACTTGATATATATCTCGGTTTGTTTGATTTCAATGAAAATAAATTTTTTCTTACCATCCACTCTCATTTTATTTTCCCTGTCTCATAGAAACCCGTAATTTATTATGCATTGATCTTATTAAGAACATTATTGTGTATAAAGGTAATTGTTTAATTCTCAAGTCATCATCACAATTGTTCCGATTGACAGAGAGCAGGCGTTTGCATGATTACAAGAGAATACTTGGTAGAAGTCAAGAGAGATTTATGTGACGTCGCGTCGACCCGTCGCATCGTTGTAATGTCCTTCGGTCGTCGCTAGAACCATCCGAGGCATTCAGGCAACGCTCCGGCCGATACATGTCGAAGAGAATTCAAGACGGCTGACGAAGTCACATCGGATTACACCGAAACTACGCGCAACGCGCGAAAGGACATCGGAACGTTGGCTGCCGGGGAGGCAGCCTATTAACCCCCACGGAGCACATACTTTTCATTATAGATGATTTTCTATACAGACCTTTTTCCTGGGAACATTGATTCCAGAAGATTTCAGGAAATTTAGAATTCCGAATTAATCGGGAATAACGTACATCGTAGAAAAATGTGAGAAGTTAGCTTTGCATTAAAATTGCTTGACACGTTTTGAGAACAAATTTTGAAAAAGTATGAACCGATTATTTTAAGATTTCTTAATAAAAACAAACGATTAATCGCACAAAAATCATTTTATGTAAAATATAACTTTGATATGAAGTAAAGACGAGAGACTTTTTCAAATGTTTGAAAAAATACTATGAGAAATTTTTGATGTATCTTTAATAATTTTAATAAATTTTTTTGTAATTGTATTGATTAATATTATAAAAAGCATACCTTTTCTAATGAGATTTTAGCTTTTTAAACTCCTAGAATTTCTAACTTTCCCGACCTGTCATTACTAACAAGAATTTACTGACTTTTTCATTTACGCTCTGTAAGTCTTTAAAGATGCTAGAAAATTGGTTTGAAAAAGAAAAATCCAGGTGGCAAAGAGGTGAGATGTTCGGCGTTAAAGGGTTAAGACATAGTTCCGGTGATGCTCCCGTAAAAGTGGGCGAGGCATTGCCCTCCCGTGAACTTTGGCAGATGTAGGTATCCCAGCCAGCCGAATCCTGAAAGGAGGCGAGAGTGACCCGTTTTGCGTCTCGCTCCTCGGGGGTTGTACTCTTTGCGCCTCGCGGTCCTCCTGCTCTCGCCTCCTCTCGACCCCAGCGAGACGAGCACATCCGAAGCCGTGCCGAGCTTCCACGACGGAGTGCAAAAGGGAGGACTACCCCGTGTTTGCGCGCGGGCGCAACAGCATTTGTCAGCGTAGCTGCGTGCTACGTGTGCGTATATATTGCACATATTCATGTGTTTACAATATGCATATGTGCGCGTGCGGGCGAATGGCGCACGCGGAGGCATCGCGTGTACAGAGTATGCGGGAATGCGGGAGCTTATGTGGGTGTCTTCGGGTATGTACCACCGGACGCTGCGACATGAGCGAATGAGAAATGAAGTCCGAGCCTC